CACRCGGAGCACACAACGCTGCGACCCCCAGCTCCTGCCTCTCTCCAGCGCCTTGCAGAACTAAGGCAACTCAAATAAAGCTTTATTTACACTACAGATTTACATTTTTACTGTCTGGGAGCCTGATCCTCTGGTCCTTATTCAGAGCCTGTTAAGTTTCCCGCGCACTATTCCGGGTGCTGCAGGAGGACATCCCGCACGGGGCTCTCACCAGCACCCTTCTCCAAGGCTTATGTACAAGGTTTGGTGGGACGAGTAGGGCACTCGTTATTTGGGGCACAGTAAGCACCAAGCCCAAACGTGGCAAAAAGATTACAGAGTGCTGTCAAAACGGGTATTACTGGCTGCACCTCACCATTTCTACGTGCCATAAGCGGTACATCCAGAACATGAGTTTCCTGGTGCAGAAAATAAACTGCCAGGAGACACCAGCATGGACCTCATCAGTCTTTTCAGACAGCAAATAGACTAATATATTAATGCAAAGTGCTTTACATGTGAAACATAACTAGTCAAATGAATAGTACAAATGGCACAAGGCAGTATAGGCATTTCTCAGGTGACCAATGCTCAGCTCGCACCGAATCTAAGGGCGAGTTGCAAGCACTTTCACRGGACCAGGCTTGCACCCCAGCTAACAGGGCACCCATAGCGCTGTTTCCTTAATACCACCCTCTATTCCTCCTTTGTCTGAAACTTAAAATTACAGAGAAAGCTTTTCAAACAACAAAACCAAGTATATCTGTCTCATCCTCCATCTTGAAATACTCAAAAGCTGCTTCTAAAATAATTTTAGAAGCCGATACTATTGGTTTTTTTCATCCAAAATAACTCCAAAGAAAAGACAACGAGAACCCCACAAATATTTTCCATTTGGATAAATGATTTGAGTATGTTTTGTGTAGTCCAACAGGTCAATCTTTCACACAGCTTCACGTTTCTGTACTGGGAAGCAAGCAGGTGACAGGCACATGGAAGGAAATGCTGCTTTGCCACAGATGATACCTTCCCTGTGCAGCACTTCCTGGGACCATGGGGATGCTTCACACAACCAGAAGTTACGGGTCCCATCCAACAACCCAGACTCAAATGAGTAAGCTTTACACCAGTGAAATTAATATCATCGCTAGAGTAAGAGCTGGTCATGCAATCAACAGCCTTTGTCATTTAGCCCCAAACACACAGTCTGCTGAGGAAGAAGCAAGTCACTTAAAATACTGATAAATGCTGAAAATGCTGAAAAATACAGGAAAAGAAAAGTTTAAGAAATTTGCCCCCAAATTTCACAGATTTGTTTAACAAACCTTACATCGCTAGTTATAAATATGAAGCATTGAAGCAACATACTGTGTTATTGCTTTTGAAGAGTAAGCCCTCATCCACATCAGCGGGGAAAAAAGCTTAAAAGCAGATGCCTCTGGTTAAATGATTTTTTTCTTGTTCACTAGATTCTAGCACTTTATGAATGACAAAAAGCTGCATCAAGATTTACAATGACTCAAGATTATTAAAAAGTTACAGCTGTTAAAATGCTAAGCCAAAAGTTGCATTTTAGTTTCAATTTATATTTTCTACAGAAAAAGTGTATTTTTTCTATGATTGCTTATATTTTACAGCTTGTTTTAATCTTCTCATATAATGAAAAGTGATTACATTCACTAAGTAGCAAAGGATTTGATCATTTTGTTTTTCTTAAAAAAAAAAGCATTTAAATTATTACAGTGAGGATGTGTTGCAGTAAAATTTTCAAGGACTTCTGGGGAATTAATTGAGAAGTTGCTTAATCTTAGAGACCTGGCTGAATTTTGTAGTTCTTACTTACACAAAAGATGCTGAATGAGAGTTTTGTCAAGCAGTCAGGATCTCAGCCACTAATAACCTCTCAGTTGTTGTTTTTTTCCTCATTAGCAGTCTAACAGCTAACAGAGTAATCTGAAGCTGCTACGGGATGCAAGATGAATTACTGCACGCCAAGATTACCCTACRAAAACAGGTGAAAAATTGCAGCCACCATCTTTCAGAAGGCGCACAAGCAGACCACAGTTTGCATCAGTGGGGCCTGGCCATAAAAATCTGCCGACAAAAATTCAAAC